GTCAAAAGAAGAAAAAAGAAACCCTGTGCAGCTATTGACATTTATATTTCTTAGACTTCTTTGGAGAAGAAAATAAGTGGAGGAAAGATACAATCAAATTTTTCTGGGCCCACTTCTGTTCTCCACATTCTTTGCATCAATACAACCTCCTTGGACTCTAGTGCCCTCCATCCTTGCATTAGCAAGATGGAAACTGGGGCTTCTGACAGCCTGGAATATTTTCTTTATATGCACTACAGTTTTCATTATGGGAATTGATAAAATCTCACCACTAGCAGAAGCCCCCAACTGGATTTACTTGTGTTATCAAGTTTGTTGTGCTCCAAATTCCCCAGTGTTCCTCTCCCCCACGCTGCCCCTGCCACGGGGACAGTCACAACGGGACCGTGCATATATCTTAGGATACTCAGTTCTGTCTCAGTAGGGCTGCTTCACTTCAGCTCACTGGACCAACGGGTTGGGGTTTCTCATCTACACGTATGAAGCAAGGCCTCCAACTTCATCTATGACACAGGTGAACAACCCCACGGGCTTGCGGCGCCGTCACCTCGTACGATTGTGTCTGTGTGCAAACGCGCATACTTTTCATACAGCAATCTGAAACTATCAGGCAGAAAAGACACAGGAGCCTGGCTGAGACCCATACAACTGTTATATTGGCGTCAGTCTAAAGAAAGCAATGATACATTGCTTTGGAAATTATCAAGAAATGTAAAAAATGCATTTGCCCTTTTTTTGTTGTTGTTGTTGTCATCGTTGTTGTAGTCATCGGGGCAGGGTTCTGAGTCAGAAAACAAAGCAGAAATAGATGCGATTCTGTACATGTTGCCTCTCCGGCTGTCCCTCCGCGCTGGGGTGTGGTGGGCAGGGTAATAAAACAGGCGGGACCCCTGCAGTAGCAGCAGCATCTACACCATCATTGTTCACGTGTCCAGCTGAAGAGGCAGATGATGCAGAAAAGGTCTGTGGATAACGAAACTCCAGCTCTGGATCATGAGTTCCACTTTCTTCCCCATCACGTCAGCCACACAGAAAGAAGGAAGAAAAAAAGAAATGCACCCGGTGTGGCTGGCCCAGTACTGCCTGGAATAATGAGCAGGAGTGATACAGGGAGGAGGTTTGTGGTTTTATAAGAAACGTCTTTAGTCTGCAGTGTACTCTTGCAAGTCAGAGATGCTCAGCGGCAAACAGCAGATCGTTTTCCCCATTCTTTCCTTTCCTTTCATGCCACTCCTCAGCCATCGGTTCCTTCAAAGCTTCCATCCACAGCACAGTGATTGTACCCACCATCCACTCCCATACACAGGGAAAGAAGGACACTCCAGGAACTCAACCTGCCCCCACCTTCCCACCGTCCCCCAGACTCTACCTCAGCTGAAGGAGGCAGTAGCTCTTTGCTCAGGCCTGTCATAGTGTGCACATCGAAAGTACCTCAAATGAAAAAGAAAAAAATATGCCGCCCTCCCCAGAAAGAGAAATTTGCACAGCTGGCACCAGCAATTACTAAATTTAACACCTGCGCCTCAAAACGCAGAAGTAATCTGCATTCTCTGTGTTTTCCACTCTGCAGGACCTAAGGGGTCTTCCAGCAGAGAGAGCGGGGTTTTCCCTGGCCATTGTAGGCTCTGACCCCCAAGGGAGTCGCAGCTTTCACCGGGAATACGTGTGGGGTATAATCCTTCCCACCATTTTCCTTCCCATCAAGAAAAATACTAGAAGGTGACATGTGCCGTCAAGCTTCCAAAACGCCCATTGCCACCACTAATTTAGATCAGTATTTTGTGCCTCAGGAGCAGAGAACACCTCTGTCTCCCACTGGGAGTGTCAGATAGACTTTCTAGTGGAAGAAAATGAGATAGGGACCCCTTACTCTGATTTCATTTTCAGAAACAGCCAGGCACAGCATTATTTCCTTTCAAGTAGCTTTGGAGCACTTCAGCACTAGCAGCAGCAAACTCTCAAAGGGAGACATGCTTGTGTGCCCATCTTGATATAGGCATGAGGGATGGAAAGGATGAGAATGACCGACATCAACTGGTTACTTTCTCCAGGGAAGTCTTGAATTAGGACTTTGATGCCAGGTGGTTGTATAAATTGATTCCTATTTCTCTACTTTAAAAGGATTTGGGTTTTTTCAAGGTATCTTGAGCTGCTACTGGCTGGTTCAAAGTGACACTGAAAAAAGTGCACTGTCAAAACCACCATTTGATATTTCTGCTTTATGCCCCAGAGAATCAAGAAGAAAAACAAGGGCATTACAAATATTATGTAATCAACATATTCAATAAATGATGTTCTCAGACATCTGCAGAAGCTCAAGATTTGAATGAAAGTTTAGCTCTGAGTCAGATCACACCTCCTAGCTCAGCACTGATCTGCAAGTCTGTGAACCGTCTTAAGAAGGGATTAAAAACAGCAGTAGTCTAGACAAAACCCAGTTGCATAAAATCTAACAATACCTGCCTGGTTTTTCAGCCTCTCTCATGAGTTAGGGCCAAGTATCAGTGTGAGGAAAGTCAAGAGAGGTTCACGCTCACTAGTAGGGAAATATGGCTGGGACATGCTGTGATGTCAGATGTTTTGTGACTTAGAATTTGATCCATCCACTAAAGTCTGGGAAGAGGGATGAGACCGTGCATAGGGACACAAAAAAGTCACTTAACATCTGCATCTTGACCAGACTGCAGCAATTCTCGTAAGCAACGATCCAGAGCTCTCCCTCACTTACCCTCTGCTTTCAATCCAGACCAGAGTTAGATAAGTTTACTTTGCTAACAGTTCAGCCTCTTGCATTTGCTTATCCCAGGATCCTGTTATAATCGATCAGGGGCAGCTATTTAATAAAAGAAATTTGAGAGCAGATTTTTGTTTCCCCACTCCTTGAATTGCTGGTGCCAGCTGAATATGTAGAATGGATCTGCCAAATGGGCTTGGGGGTCTTGCCACCCTCAAGTGGGATTAGACCTTTAGAGAAACTGAGCAAAAGGAAAGAGAATAAAGCCTGAATAAAACGTCCCGATCTCGGGAAGAAAGATTCTCTACCAATAAAGTCATCGTGCACATTTAAAGGGAGTGAGGAAGAAGGAAAATGAACACAAGATATGCAAAATCAGTAACGTTCAACCTGTCAGTGGATTGCAGAATAGTTACTTACACCAGGTACACTTTGTTCATTGTACAAATTAAAAAAGGAAAAAAAATAGTACCCCTTTCCCCAACCACACGTAGAAAAGCACTTAAAAGTTCAAAGGTAAAGCTTGGCACATTCCAAATACGAAATGATTCACTTGACATGCAGCAAAATATACAAGAAGTGATTATTTTTTTTCTTTTTTTTTTTAAACAAACTTAATTCAATTCATTATCTTTGCTTGGCACAATTGCAATTCATTTTAAAAAAATATTTGAAAAATACTGAAACTGACCTGAATTCAAGTATAACAGTTTCTTCAACAGAAACATTATCAATGCAATAAAACATTACACGGAATATATTGAAGCGTAACGCCTTCTGGTTTTTTTGTTTCCCCCCACCCCCGCAATTTTTTTCTATACAGTTTTAATGCCAACACAAGTTACAATTGTATTTTAAAATTAATATTATTGCATTGTTTTTGCATATCTTGTGGAACAGAAAATGCAAAGAGTTACTGATTCCCCTTTCAAAAGCAGAGACAGTGGTTTGTTTTTGCATTCAGATGGCCCCAGATACAGATCTCCTGCAGCTCAAACCAGAATGTGGAGAACTGCATGCACTTACACACACATGCGTGCGCACGCACACTCGCTCCGTATTGCTCCCACACTCACAGGTGTACTTAGCACTAAAAAGAACCCAAATCAATCACTCAAATGTGCAAGACTATATCAAGTGCATTGCCTACTACCTTTAAATTATAAAACAACAACAAAAAAAGGAGGTTTCAATTACTAGCAAATAAAATTACAAATTCTTGGTGTACATAATGGTTGGTAAAACTCGTCTATCGTTATACGTCTACCAAATTTCAATGGAGAAAAAAACCCAGTTTAAATAATACAACATGATCAAACCAATTTAACATTTGCAAATGTGAAAATAAACCAAACCAAAAAGGTAGGTGATTACAAAACGTTGTAAACACTCCCTTCTCCCTCCAAAAAATAATAATAAAATAGTCAAAATAAAAACTGCAACATGCTTTCAAGAAAATATCAAACTGCAAAACAAGGAGAGATCTACACAAGCCCACCACCACCTCAGCAAGCGCGGGGCAGGTGGGCTCAGCACCCCCGCTCTCCCACTGGCTGGCACGGCTGGCTGTCTGAGCTCCGATTGGTCGGCAGGAGACGGCCTGAGCTCGGATTGACTGGCAAGTGACTGCTCGAGCTCGGATTGGTTGGCAGGAGTGGCTGCCTGAGCTCGGATTGGTTGGCAGAGACTGCTGCCTGGGAGTCTCGGCAGGGTTGGGCAGCGTCGCCACCTGCCCCCCGGGCGCCCTCGGGCTCCTTCTGCTTCCTCCTCCCCTTGGCGGTACGGGAATCCACAGCAGAAGGCGGCCTCCTCTCCTTCCGAATCAAAGGGCCTTGGCTTTATGGAGACGGTGAGGCTCATACAGAATATGTGCAAAATGATTTTTACAAGCAAAGTTGAAAGACACCCGTTTGACGCAGGGTCCTTTTGGCTAGGGCCATCCACAGGAAGCTGAGGTTCCCCTTCGCGCTCGGGAGGCTGTTGTTGTTCCTTGTGCAGGGACTGAAAAAAAGAGGGAGCTGGCTCTCCTCCTCTTCCTCCTCCTCCGCCTCCTCCTCACTCTTCCTTCATGGACACGTGCTGGGGTTATATCCGCTCCTGAAAAGCTTTCTTACACCACCCAACTCTGCGACTCGTCCCAACAGAAATGAATGAAGAACGCTGTTCCGGTTACTCCAGGTCACGAGAACAGTGAGGCACTTCTGAAACAAACCCATTAGGAACATTGAAACAAATAAAAAACCAGCATCGCTTCCAGCCCTGGCAACTACAGGCTGCTGATATAAATCCTGCTGTCCTTGAGCTCCTCCTGACTTTTTCTACAATCCGGGTTCTGCACCTCTTCCTCTTCCTCTCCTGCACTGTCCTGCCCTGGGTCCCTGCAGTTAACAAAAGGCAAGAGGTTGCCATTGGGGCTCTGCTTGCTGTTACCATTGAGAATGTTGTCTGCTGCATTTTCCATCTCTTCTATCGTCATGTCACAGGCGTCTGCGAGCTCCTGGGTTGTGACCTCAATGAACTTTGGATCTTGAGCAAACTGCATCAGTCCTTCCGAAATCAAGACCTTCAAAAGCAGGTAGGGAACCAGAGACAAAGACATATGTTAGTATTCTGCATCATCAACCCTGTCGCACCCCATCACAACCATCTTTACCGCTGCATTTTCCCCAGCGGTCCTTCTCCCATTCAGGCTGCTAACCCCTGCTTGGAGACGGGCTCTCCTACTCTTGGCATTGTGGGCAGCAAGATATCTGCTGCCCTGCTCTTCTGAGGGCCGCATTTCTAGCTGGCCTTGACACTGCTCGTGTCCTTCACGACTCTGCAGTCTTACCGCTTCCACCAGGCTGCCAGCGCTGCCGTGAAACTGCCTGCTGCTCCCTCCAGTCTGGCTGGGGACGGTGAGGGAGACCGGCCTGGCTCTCCTTGGGCTGCTGCAGCTGCTGTTGTCAGTGTACTGAGAGCCGCAGTGGACTGACGGGAAGCTGCTGTTGAGCTTCTCGCTGGACTCTGCCCCGTCGAGGCGCAGAGTTGGGATGGTCTGTTGCGGCCAGCCACGGCTGCAGGGTGTAGCGGGGGGCGTAGCACAGAGCCGAGAGAACATGGTGGGGGAATGGCTTCGCTGGAGCAGGGGACTCAGGCCGGCCACTGCTAACGCCTGCGGACAGAGGAGGAAGACAACGAGTGAGAGCCTGCTCTTAGCCGCAGGGCTGGAAGGCGGAGGTGCTGGAGAAACTACCCGAGAAAGGCCTGGAAGGTCTCGAGGCTTGTGGAAACAGCTGCTAGCTGCTGGAATGGTTTGGATGTTTCCTGTGAACTCATTTTGCAAGCTTTCCTTTAAATGGTGTATCCTGTGCTAGTGCCAAGCACCAGACTGAAAACTCTCACGACTGCAGTTCTTCAGCCTCGGAGCCGCTGCACTGACAGGAGGGATGCAGCCCCACTCCCCACAGCCTTGCCAGAAACACCACCTCTTCTCCAGTGGGTGAGACGGCAATTCATTTTCCCACCACTGCCACCACCCATACTGCTAGCTTTTACTGCCAGTTGCTGTGTTTTCTGTAAGTGTCTACTGTGGAACTTGAACGGATACCAGATGTGAATTTTAGATGTGTCTGCAGTTGGCAATAACTATAAATCCACCACTGGATTTTAAGGCATCTGCTGGTGGTGGGAGGATCAATATCTGTTGATTATACTTCAAGCCATCCCCGTCCTTCCTGTAATTGTATACACAACCTCTGAGTCATCCAGCCTCCTTTTATATCAAATTTCTCAAGAAGCTGCTTGTTGCACAAGGCTGATATGATGCCTTATCCATGGTGACTCCTGCCTTGTTCCATAAGCAATGCCGTCAGAGTCATAAGCTCATGTCACAAAGTTCACTACTGCCTAGGATGAGCCCAAATAAATGCATAGAAAATACAAAAGACATGTGGACTGTGTTGCACAGTTAGTCTCATCCAGCTTCAGCTATCTGAAGGCTATGTGTTTAGTGTAAGCTAACTGTGTAGAGAGACACCAGCAAGCCTCCTGCCTCTTTTGGATACCTGCCTGAAAATGCTGTCTGGAGGACAAGACTTAGAAAAGACTTATATTTGCTTTTTTTTCCCTCTGTCGACCACAGTGAGACTGAACTGTCTGGTTTAAACTAGACAGCTAACTTTAATGTACCTAAAGTTAAGTGAAGCTCAGTCCATCTGCCACTGAAATCCTTGGGAACTGATAACCACGCTGTGCTAATGATTTCAGTGACAGATTAACAAAAGAATCAATTATTACTCACCTACAGACTTCACCAAGATTTTCTGAGGAATTAGATGTCAGACTCTTATCAAATTTCAGTGAGGAAGAAAGCCCTTAAAAATTCATCTGTGTAAGTCATGCCCTGCAGGCTACGATGGCCTCAGCACATCCCTTAGACTGCCGGGACTTCAAGGAGAGCCCTAGACCTGTCAGGCAGGACAACTGTACCAGTTTTTCATCTTGTTGGCAGAAACATATACAAGGTATTTTATCGAAAATGTAAGGTACTGAGGAGGTTGAAAGAAGCTCTTAGGGATTGCTTTGAGCTTCAGCTGCATATATTTACATATCATGACATACGAGTATTTCATGAGAATACTCCTTCAAGCATTCATGAGCAACAGAATCCATTGTGCTTAGCGGGGGCAACCTTTATGTTCTTGTTTTAAGCACTGTTGTAGTCTAACATTTTTGTAAACATATGAACACTGCTGTGTGTTGCCAGCTGGAGGCCAGATGCCTGTTTCAGGTTAACGCTTCAGTCTAGCTGAGTGACACTGGGGTGGGTAGAGCTCCATCCCTCTAGCTTTGGAGCTGCATGGTGGGACGAGGAATGGTGAAGTAGCTCCATCCTCTTTGAACAGGTTGGAGGGAGGTGATTCTGCTGGCTGGGTGGGCTGAGAGAGCGGGAGGCATGTGTGCCCTCTGCCTGGCCTGCCATGGGAGGGCAGGAAGGCTCAGGAGGGCTGTTGCTGCTGTGGGGGAGGTAGGAAGCTCTTTTCTACCCACTCCTCCTTGCCCAAACACATTTGTTGGTTGTCCCTGCCACAGCTGTACCTTTCTGCAGACCACTGCTTTCTGGAGCTTGATCTTTAAAGGATAACTGTCTGGGAGTGGAGGTGAGAAAAGCCAGGGAGCCTGAAGCACACTCATCTCTCACTGCTCTGCTCTGACTTCTCACTCCTCCTGCCCCTCCCGCGTGGCATTTTCTGCCCCTGTGGCAGCCGAAGGAGGTGGGAAGGCCATTCTGCCCTGCCCTGGGTGACTGCACAGAGCAGGATGCCTCACTTGCAAGGCTGGCACTACCATCTGCACCTGTTTCTTTTATGGTGACAGAAAGTGGCATCATCAAACTAGATGACACAAATCTACTTTGGACTATGACAGCTGGCTAATCATCCAGGTATGTGCCTAAGCATACATTTGCTAGGCTGCTGAAAGCAGCTGCAAAGGCTTAAGAAGCCAACTAATTACATGTAATCAGTTTATGTTTTAAAATGATTAATTACAATTACTGGTTACCTTGAATCAATATGAAAGTAGACCCTGCACATTTTATTCGTATGCATACTACCATCAGAGCCAGTGTAATTGCACTACAGCATGCAATTTGGGTAGTTATTTTTATCCTTTAGCTAGTTTTTTATTTTACTCTTTCATGGACATCAGAAAATAGTAACTCTGCTGACTCCAAAGGATACGTTCCTGTAGCATTCTTCTGGGAGTGATAAAAATCCTGAAAGCAGGAATAAGCATGATGGCAAATACAATTTCTAAAAATTGGACTTTTTATATGGGCGAGAAACTATCCCAAATGGTTTTTAAAAAGTTGGTTGGGATACAGTGGGGGGCACTGCAGATGGTAGGGTCTCAGTTACATTGCTGGGCCCTTTGTAGTTATTAATGCTTACCTGATGATGTACCAGATGCAAAGGCAGAACTGTCTTCTGCGAGACGTCTACGCCCTGGTTTTTCTGTCTTTTCAGACACTCTAAGTGAAAAGATGCTCTTCGACCTGAAATACCAATCACACACAACTCTGTCCATCACTCATACTACACATACCATTGGAGATGCAGCAAAGATACCCCACATTTTAGGCTCTGTCCACTTTCCCTCAACACCTTGCCCTTTCCAAAGCATGTGTATTTACATAAAGCAGTCAAGCATCATGGACCAACCAGCACTACCTTCCAAGCAAGCTGCAAGATAAAATTCTGGATCATGATTTTTATTTTTCCTCTTTTAAAACACTGTCCTAGTAGATACCGTGCAGCTGATTTCCCTCCTAAGCAGTGGAAGTGTTCTCAGACCTCTGTGGTTCAGGTAATGCCCTCAGTGGGACTGATGACGGCAGCTGAGGCTCTGGAGCTGTGCCTGGCTGTACACAACGTGCAGGAGGGAATGTCAGGCTGCTCAGGTGACATTGGCCTCCTGCTTGCATGTGATGGGTGTCCCTTAGCTGCCAGACATACCACAGTTCATGAGGCTGTGTCTATAGCAAGGTCAAGTGGAAGTGAATTGATCAGTGGTTGAATTCACTGGTGAATAGAAGGCTGCTTATATAGACATGAACCATTTTCAAAATTTGGAAAGAAGGGAAGAGAAAAAAGCTTTTTTTCTCCTGAAAAAAAAAAAGATTATAGGGGGAACTATTGAAACAGTTGCATTATTTACTTGCTATAAAATTAAACTTCTGAAATATGAGGAAGGTACTCCCTACGCAGGAATTTAAAAGCACTGCAAAGTATGTTTATGAACAAATGCACGGCTTTACTTGTGAAGAATGGCAAATATATCCAGTATGAAAGATAGAGCTGCATGGCGCACTAAAATATTTCATGGCACACTAAAATGTTTTGTGGACTTCTTGATCCTGTTGACATTTTTCTAAAGAAGGGAAGAAAATTAGAATTCTGAAAATAGTAAGTATCTATAATATTGATTTGTTGAGAAAAGGCGCTCTCAGGGGTTTGAGCAAACATAACCCAGAGAACAATGCAGATAAGTATTTCCTCTTTCTAGAGAAAAAAACTAGTAAAGTGAGTATGACAGCACTGTATAAATATTCACTAGAATGTAGTTAATGAAGCATTGTATCAAGGACTGACTGCAAATTTGGCCTTACAGATAAATATAGGAATTGTCATTGCTTAATATTTTAAGTTTTGGAATAAAGTAAATACTTTTAAAATACTCAGTTGTACAAGCAACCTGAAGGATCTGAGTGAACACTCGGTAGCCTCACTTTAAACATTACACTACCTAGTCTGTCACTTTTATTTTGTAAGAAAGAATATATTTTATATAAAGGATTCTTTTTAGTTTCTCTCCCAAATGTCCTTTTTCTCCACACCAGTACTCAGGAAAAAGGATGAAAAATATTCTACATAAAAGAGCTCATTTTCCTCCAGACTCTCACATTTGCCCTGGTACTTTCATAAAATCTTGAGATTCATGGATTTCACCTGAGCGTAGTCTGCACGCTCAAGCACTTGAAAATCTCCAGGTACAATTAGAGCAGAAAGCAAATTTGTGTTGTATTAACTTCATCTGAAATTCACTGTTTTCCTCGTAGCAGACAAAAGAGACAACCTCTCCTTTCTCTGTGCTGAATACACACAGAACAGAACATCATGTACTCAAAAGCTAGCCCATTCAGTGACTCCCTGGTGACTGTTTGGAGAGTCTACAGTGCTCTAATAAACTGCCCTAATTCACAGGCAGGCTTAATCAAACAGATCACATGGACTATCCAAACAACCACAGATTCATCTACTGACTGAGCATGAAGTCAGTAGAGTCACGTGCATGATCAGGATCGTATGCACGCCGTGGGATTCCTGGTCTCACGAACTAAATGCAGCGAACAGCAACACCCGTGCCCACACACACTCGGATTCCTCCAGCAAGATGCGAGAACTCCATCGAGGGAGGGGAGAGCACAGCCCGCATGTCACACTGGGATGTTACCTAGTGCTGAGGAGCACAGAAACCCTTTCTTCGGAGAGTGTCGGGTGTCCTCTCCTTTGTGGTTTTCTGGTGGAGTAAGTTGTCTGTTTTCATCATCTTGGTATGCAAGCCTAGAAAGGAGAACAGAGGGATTCTAGAAAAGCAGCTGATATTGGGCAGAATAACCCCTCTTCCAGCAGAGAAGCTGGGAAGATCATGCTATCAAATGGATGCAATAGTGAGCTAAGTTCGAGCTATAACTGGTCCAGCAGTAGTAAGAGAGACCATGAGACAGAGAATGCTTTAAAGAGGAGATCTGGGAACATTAGGTGGTAGATGTGAAGGTGGGGGCGGGGAGGGGAGGCCCTGCAGATCCAGATGTCTAATTCAGAGGAGAAAGAAAATCCTAGGTGAAAGATAACCTTTTCAATGTTACTTCTCAGGGCTGAACTGCATTTTTTTAAAAATTATTTTCTGATATTTGAGTTGTCTCACTAAAGTCTTCTGGCCTTATCCCATAAATTGAAATTTTTGTAGGAAAATGACACCTCTTCCCACCTCTCCCCCTTAATTAAAGAACCACCCAAACACCTTGACTAAAGCTGCAAAGCTCACATTTCAGTAGAGAGCAGACTTGGTTCACTACAGTACTCAATGTCTTCATTCAAATTTTCATCATAAGTCTCATCCTGAGACACTTCCTCTTGGCAAACAATTGCCAGCTGGCTGTCTCTGGAACTGGAGCTAATGAGCAAAAAAGACAAGTCAAGATATGGAGATGGTAAAGACAACCTGTTATAAAGACAAGAATGACAGGCTCCATCTGTCTCAGTTTATTATAATGTTGAAGAGCTATCATAGAAAAATCAATGACTGAACAGAGCTGCAGAGTTCACAAACACAAAGCAGCAACCTTTGTCTGTGTCCTCTTTCAGAGGAAGAGTTTCTTAAATCAATGCTGAACAATACTGTAAACATATTATTGTTATTTGTGACTACCTGTACTCTATAAATGTCCACACCACACTGACCACATTTCCAAAGATACACCTCACTGAACTCAAAGTAAAATCTGAGGTGGGGTCTTGGAAATACAGCTTTTTCCCTTGTTGCAAAAGCCTTGGGTACAAATTTCAGAGAAGCCTCCTAGACACTAACAGTAACCCTCTCAGCTCTGTGGTGTATGGTGTCCGCCTCCAAAATCCCTTACTCTGCACTGTCTCTCCCCTCTGCCTTCTGTTCATGCTCTCGTTCCTTGCTGTCTTTTCCATCTTTGGTCCCTTTTTCTCATAACTAACTGCAGAGTGCTTCTACTGAATTCAGTAGGATCTGTTCAAACCCTTAAGCATGACAGCCCTTAAATCCCTGCTTGCCTCCTCCTTGTCCCTCTGTTTCAGGTCTCAGCCCTCATATTTCACTTCATTCTGAGTTTGTGTTTTCTGAGGAGTAAAATAAATTCTGAAGGTAGTGTGAATCTTTGAGATACCGGCATGGAGGTATTGGAGCCAATGTCAGTCTGTTACTAGCATTCACAGAAGAGAGCAGCATGGCAGGTTTTTTTCATCTTTCAGGGACTGAATAGAAAACATCATTTTATCATTTGATTTGAGCAAAAAGAACTACAAGAAATGTGCATATGCATGGTATAGAACAGCCTGTAGGACAGTGCCGGAGTGAC